CATGAGCCGGCTCAACATTTTGCCAAATTGTTGAGCTGTGAGCTGAGCCGGCTCAGTAATGCATTGAGCTGAGCTGCTGTCTGAGCTGAGCTGAATGAGCTTGAGCTGAGCTGAGCTGAATGAGCTTGAGCTGAGCTGAGCTGAGCTGATTGAGCTGATCTGAGCTGAGCGAGCTGAGCTGAGCTGAGCTGATTGAGCTGAGCTGAGCTGATTTAGCTGAGCTGAGCTGATCCAGTCCTAATTCTTTTCAGTTCATGCTTGGAAATTAACTCAGGCTTTGATGCTTCAGCTATGAGCTAGCTATGGAGTGAGCAATTACACTGCCTTCGTGATCGCACTTAAAAATATCAAAACTCTAAAAAAAAAATCAATAGTAATCACTAATCGAGCTTAATTTCTTTCACCCATATTGCATGGAAATTGGAAGACCAGGGTCTTGGCCAATTTATAGGCTAATACAGCCAGTCTCAAGTTTCAAGTCTGACTGCAGGATGAATACCTACTGTCAGGCTTTGATGCTTCGCCTTGACACTCTGCTCCGCAATGTACAATTCAGCATTCTTCACTTTGTTATTTAAGCAGTTATTTAAATTGATTTTATCAATAAGGGTTCTTACCTCTGCATAAAATAGTTACAATTAGGAATTAGCAAATAAAGTTCCTCTTCGTTGGTTGAATGTGGGCTAAGCAACCATATCCTATTGAAAGTGGGGTGGGGCAGAGGCGCTAACTGGAACTCTCACCTTCTGATGTCCATTATATGGGAAAAGCTCTCTTATTCACAGGAACAGACTATAGTTGAGATGATTCCATGACGTTTTTTTTTTCGTCTAGAAGATTTTCGTCGGACAATTTTTCGTCCGCAGATTTTCGTCCGACTTTTTTCGTCTCGCATTTTTTCGTCTGTACATTTTTTCGTCCGTGCATTTTTTTCGTCGGTACATTTTTTCTGAGCGGAAACTGAGCTGAGCTGAATTGAGCGGAAACTGATCTGAGATGAACGGGAACTGAGTTGAGCTGAGCTGAGCTGAGCGGAAACTGAGCTGAGCTGAGCTGAGCTGAGCGGAAACTGAGCTGAGCTGAGCGGAAACTGAACTGAGCTGAGCGGAAACTGAGCTGAGCTGAGCTGAGCGGAAACTGAGCTGAGCTGAGCTGAGCGTGAGCGGAGCGCAGCCGGTTTGAGCGGAACGTGAGCTGAGCTGAGCCGCGTTAAACTGAGCGGAAGCTGAGCGGGAGCGGATAAGACGGAGTTGAGCTGAGCGAGCTCACTTTTTTCTTGAGCTGTCACAAGTCTGCTACATTGAAACGCCAGTAGGTAGATATGAATTCAAATTTATGACAGCATCATAGCAAATCATGATGACTTTTTTAATGTTGTCCGAATGGAGGAATGGGTGGCTATGGACCCTGGTGCCCCGCTAAGCAGTGCTTGTTGGTTGTTGCGGATGACACCACATACCCACCACCCCACCTTGCCCGCGCTCGGTTCGCCGGCAATAATTTGAATAGAAAGTTAAACGTAACGCAGGTAGATGGCGGCACGGCCCTCACGGGTCTAGACTCTGGAGCATAATGAAATGAAACGCAAACGCATTACGCAATGCAATGCATATGATATTGAAACGTGTGCAATATCACACCAGAAGACATGGTTCTAGCGAAGCTTCCCAGCTCACATAATTATCTTTGTACCTGATTCAATGGCTCCGCGTGACCACCGATCTTCACAAGCAGCTCGCCTGCACCCGTAAACTGCAGTGACACAACATACACCCACACAGCAGGTTGCAGCCTGCAGTACAATCCACTCAGAGTTGTTATCACTCTGTGACTGACAGCCGGCAGCGATAGGTGGGCGGTAGCGTCAATCACAAACGCTAGTCGCGTCAGAGAAAGATTAGCAGGCAGCTGAGGCACCTTATCACCTTGAAAAGTCTATAGAGTCCATGCTAAAACAAGCTGCAAAACAGTTTGAAGACCATTAGGTAAATGTGGCATCAACATGGCAATTGAGTAACCATGCAAAAAGTAGGCACGCAATACGCATAAAGTCAGCTCTCACAGTAATGTAGATCAAATGCTTTGAAAAGATATACTACGAAACCAGAGCCCACGCCAAGCAGAGCTGTTGGGTAGCTGTCAGTTTCCAACTTCTGTAGTTCATTCGATCAGGAAAAACTGGAAATCTGGGGCATAGTCACATAATGGTATTTATATGCCAAGGTTTAACCCGCGCGGGGCTGGGGTCTCCAGCCGAACGCGCGGGGCTGGGGGGGGGGGTAAATTTTACCCCCCCCCCCCTGTTATCTCCCGAACTAATGGTCCGATTTGGAAAATTCAAACGCCAATCGAAAGATCTCATCACGAACAACTAAAAACATGTACTTAATTTTAAATTTGAGGTCAAAGTCAAGGTCAGGTCAAGGTCAAGGTCAGGTCAAGGGTACAAATTGCAACTTTCTACAGTATCGGTCTTGCACCGTAGTTGCCGAAGAATGGAGTCATCGACTGAGACTGATTGCCCAAAACGTGTTCTTAGGCTACCAAGACAATATTCGTTGCATACAATATCATTCAGAGGTCAAGGTCAAGGTCAGGTCAGGTCAGGTCATCAAAAAACAAAATATAGAAAAGGGCATGTGCGACACATGTTTTATGGGTCATTTTACTCATAGAATTCAATAGGTACACTCAATAAGTGATATGGACCACCTCTGGATGAATTTCAGGTCGAGGTCAGGTCAAGGTCAGGTCAAGTGAGGTCAAATTTTGAAGTTGGTTGTTAAGGCCTAAAAAGGTGTCTATCTGATGCAGTTTTTCACGGCGAATCGAATGGTGCTATTTTTGTTTCCGTACGAGGTCTAGAACTTCCAAAAAAAAACATTTTTCAATTTTTTTTGTGTGTCGTGACATCATAAAATTTTTAATAACTCCCACATTTCTGAACCGATTCTTCTAAAAATTGGTATGTAGGTGCACATAGACCACTTCTCTGACATATATTCCGGTTTTTTCGATACACTTAATATTTTGGATTTTATAACTATTTTCCCAAAAAAGTCAGTTTTTTGAAAACATTTGGACCAAAATCCAAAATTTTCAAAAAACCGAGATAGCCATTTGATAGACAAAGTAGAATTACGTATAACCTTTTTTGTTACGTCTTGATTCCTTTAAAAATGAAGATGTTAGCGGCGTTTGAAGTTCTGCCGTTTTTGAGGCGAAAATGGCGAACATGACGTCACTAAAACGTCAATTTCTCAAAAAAATTCCGACGGATTTCGCTCAAATTTTCAGGGAACGTGTCAAATTGATGTAAGAAAAGGAACTGAAAGTTTGAGATATTGCAAAAATTCGCGAGGGGGGGGGGAATTTACCCCCCCCCCCAGCCCCGCGCGTGTTAATGTTTCCACAGAACTGAACATGGTCAGTGCCCCGCATTGACTTCAACTGACTGTGGCTGCTCCCACCAGGCACCAACTGCAGACTGTCCCCCATTACTTGGTGTCATACGTTTAGTGCCAGAGCGATTCGAACCCCGGTTCTGCCCACGCCCCACTAGGTGCCCCTCGCTCTCCACTTGCCAGCTGACATGTATCATGAATCATGATGCACGTCAGTGAGTGGCCTTTCACCTCTTGGTCTCAAACTCACTGTAATTGAGTCACCAATCAGTCAGACAGTCAGTTCATTCTGTCACCAGTCAAGCACTTTCCCTACTAGTCCATAAGAACAGAACTGAACAATTACCAGAACCAGGGCTTGGCATGTGAAATTGCACATGAATCACACACAAAAATTATGATTTAAGGAATGGATGATGCCATTGCCATGTATGCATGTTTATTCAGACCCCATAGACAAACATTACCAGAGACAAGGTCAGCTGAGACCAGACATAAGTGGATGGATAGTGGATACTGGATATCACTTAACTTATTCTATTTTCAGATGACACGTAAACCTGGTTAAATTCTGGTTCATCTGGTTCAATTATTCAAATCTTATTTGGGCTTTTCCATAGTTCCTGAACAACTTCTTCTTGCTGTAAATGACTGTAGTTTATTGTATGCAATACCAACAACAAACATTTGTGAGGGGTTGATAGCAAATGATACCACTAACTTTTGACCAGCTCTGTTAAAAATTACAGTTCTTTACCTACCTGGAACCCAAGATAAAAAGTTATGAAAGCAACCTTTTATTCAAGAAATTCAATTTAGGAACAATTGTTTTCACCCTGAACTAATTAATATAGGTATCAAAATAATGTCATCACTGAACATAAAAATTGTAGAGACACTAGAAACATGAACATTTATTTAAAGCAGCATACATATTTTATTTGGGCTGGTCTGCCACGGAAATAATTCCAACAATATTTTGTTATTCCTTAGCCATCAGTCTTTCATACTTCTAAGGATCCACTGACAGTCCTGGTTGTGCCCAGCACAGACTAAGCATATGATTATGAAACTAATAGTTACCTACCAAGTTAAGCAGAGCACACATATGATTTAGGAACAACCAGTCATGACAGACATCCAAAACTCACAGCAAGATAGCAGCAGCACTCAGCACCAGTACTCAGTAGGTAGGTAGCCAGATGGCACGGATTAGTGTTCTGCGTCTATCAGTCATGCTTGCCCAAGCAGGAGGGTCATGTGAAGTGTGGATGCAGGCAAGAAGAACAGACAGGATGACAGGAGACATGAGATCATTCATACAAATAACATGACAACAGCACATACATGATAGAAATTACCTACAAAAAAAGTTTACGACAGATATGAAGTAGCACAAAAATATATTTAAAAAATTAGGTATACAACACAAAGAAGGTGGCATTTAGGTGGTGGTAAAAATTATGGGCTTTCAATTTGGAATCTTGAACTTGATGCTAAGACCAACATAATTTGAATTTATTTCAGTGAATTGAAACAAAGAATGGAAACAAATGAAATAAATTTACCCTGGCAATGCACCCAACGCAAACTTACCACCACCAAAATGAAGACAGCTGTCCTGCGAGCTGATGTGTCAATTAATATTGTTTTCCTTCTCCAGCAATCGAATTTATAAATAATTGAGCTATATATAATAGCTGTGCTCCAGCTCAAGCTCAAGCCAAGCTCATATAGAGCTAGAAAAACGGCAAAACATTTGTCATCGATGCGCGCCGATTTCGTAAGCAACAAGTCATATTTGTATAGTGTTCAACGACAGTGTCGATGACACAATAATGAAATCGATCATCTTCTCACTTATGACGTCAAAACAATACTTATCATTTCATTTAAGACAATTAGTGAGTTGCGATTTGAGCTGCAGCAAGCGGAATTTCGTGCCATTTATATTAGGCTCTTTAAATCACTTCTTACTTCTTCTAGGTTGTAAGGTTACCTACTTTGATTATGCTTTTTTCGCAGACTCTGCTTACGCATTGTTGCCATAAGCGGCCTTCGCTAACAGCACATTAGTGAACAGGAGAAAGTGAAGGGTGTCCGTGAAATTGGGCCTATGTTCGATCTTTTAATTACTTCAGAAAATATATTTTCAACGACATTCATAACAAAACGAAGCTTTTATCTTCCAAATAGAATTATAGAAGTGCTTACCTACCTATTGGCTATTGACATGAAATAACAGGTGAAGCAGGATTCTTCGCTTTCTTTTCTTTATGACTTTTGGTCATAAATCTGAGTTCTGACCAAAAGTCCTTGTTTGATCTCTTTCCGCTAAAGCGCTAAATGAATCAATTTTCATTCCATAGTTTTCACCTGGCACCTGATCATTCTACTTCATATTCTCTAGCCTTGAGATCAAATTATCAATCATCAATCTCTATCTCGATCCTTAGCTCGAATTTCGATCTTTCGCTCCCTCGCTCTCATTTAGCTGGAAAAATGAGCATTCTAGAGTTCAGGGCTGCGGAGTCGGAGTCTGAGTTGGAGTCGGTCGAAGAAGCCGACAGTTCTGACCGGGGTCGGAATCGATTTTGGGAGCCGGGGCAGGAGTCGGATTGGAGTCGGACTTCGGAGTCACCGAAAATCCATTGACTCCGCATTCCGCAAACCTTCCTAGTTCCTAAGCTGCGGAGTCGGGAGTTCGAGTCCGAGTCTGACAGAACGAGTCGACGATTCTTCCCGGAGTCGGAGTTGATTTTTGTAAGCCGGAGTTGGATTCGGAGTCACTGAAAGCCCATCGACTCCGCAGCCCTGCCCCTGCTAGAGTTACTATTTCTGCTCTGAAGATGAAGTCAATGAAGGAATGGTATCAAGATGAATTAATATTTAACCTGCACCCCGCTGGGGGGGGGGGTTCGCCAATAACTTCTAAACGCGTTACGCCAGCGACGTCAAACTTGCAGTACCTAATCATACATCAATTTGACACGTTCCCTGAAAATTTGAGCGAAATCCGTAGGATTTTTTTTTTAGAAAATGACGTTTTAGTGACGTCATGTTCGCTATTTTCGCCTAAAAAAACGGCAAAATTTCAAACGCCGCTAACATCTTCATTTTTCAGGAAATCAAGACGTAACAAAAAAGGGTTATACCGTGGCATCGGTAAAATCCTTTTTGAAAGGATTGCATTCCCAATCCACATTCCTAGTGCCGAAGTAGATTGCATTCCTACCCGCAATCCCCTTTTTTCACTTGGATTGTGATCAAATCCGCAATCCTTTTTTGCAATCCTGTTGTATTATTATGTGCACTAGTGGATCTGGGGGAGGGAGGGGGGCATAGGGCCGTGCCTCCATCCCCAAATCACCCATTTCTAGTACCTAGTCTTGCGAGTAATTCCTATCTAAGGCACAGGTATTTTATGGGAAATGTGTTTTGCCTCAAACACCCCCACATTTAACCTTCCAGGCGGTGGGGGGATCTTTTGAATATAATAGCCGAAAAATCCAAAAAGTTTTTTGAATTTCGAAAAACGGCATACCTATATGTGATAGTCCCTACCGCCTTCTATCTACATACCAAATTAGAGATCAATACCTCTTTTTTTGGCCAAGTTATAGCGAAAAAACTGTTAAAAATTGATGACGTCAAATTTCAAACTCAATTTTTAGCAATTCTAGACCTTGTAGCGCAAAACAAAGACCACCATTAGACTCCCCGTGACGAGCTGCATCGAATCAATACCCATTTTATGCAAAAATATCAACTTTGAAATTTGACCTTTTTTGACCTGACCTTGACCTGACCTCCACCAGAAAGTGACCTAAACCGTACCTGATGGTCTTATAACCAATACCATTGAGTTGGAAATGAAAAACTGGCCATAAAACATGCATCGCACAACCTTAGTAAAGATGGGTTCATGTGGTGACCCTTGGTGACCTTTGGTAAACTGACCTGTGACCTGACCTGGTATGACCAGTGACCTCTAATAGCAACATATGTACTAGACAACTGACGCCTTATCGCTGAGTTTCGACAAGATGCGTTTTACTCGGTGTTTAGCGCTTTCCCTAGAAGCCCCGTGAACGGTGAAACATTTTATCTTTGACCTGACCTGTGACGTCATCGGTGACCCCGAGGTAAGTGAAATTTAGTTTCCTTCAACAAATTTGACAGGGCCATCGAACGTCGTTTGAATTTTCCAGATCCGTCCAGTAGTTTCGGAGATACGAGGGGGAGGGGGCAAAAAATGCCCCCCCCCCACCGCGCGGAAGGTGGCTGGGAGGCCCATCGCCTGCCGGGTTAAACCTCTACCCAACCATTGTTTTATATTTTTAAAACTCGCCCTCAAATACATAATTTTGCCCTTCCTATGTAGTTAATCAGCGTATATTATTTTGAGCGTTTAAATTAAAAGCGTTTAAATTCTCACGTCCGTCCACGTATTCACGTCGTAAACGTATTCTCACCTTGACATGTTCCATAGTGTATGGAAATATGGGCAAATAGGTACGCACCTTCTTCACTTTTCTCTATGTCCCCCCCCCGTCTGTCTCTCTCTTTGGATCCGCCATTTAACGTGGCGTAGTTCTCGCCTCTCGCCCGGCCCCGTGTCGTCATGCAAGCAGCGCAGCGCCAACTTTGCCTTGATACTGGGATAATTTGTGTCTATGGCAACCGGCAGTATTCTAGTTAGTTAGTTCCGTCGATGCACATTGCACAACTTAGCGGCTGCACATCATTCTAGGCCTATTAAGATCGGGAAAATATCAGCCATGACTGATTGCCCCAGGAAAGGATTGCAATCCGGATTGGATTGCAAAAATTGGAAGTATGATGCAATCCAATCCGCAATCAAATCCTGTTTTTTGGAATGGATTTCAAATCCAGGTGCAATCCACCAAAAAGGAATGCAATCAGGATTTTGCAATCCTGCAATCACAATCCTACCGATGCCTGGTTATACGTGATTTTATTTTGTCTATCAAATGGCTATCTCAGTTTTTGGAAAATTTTGGATTTTGGCCCAATTTTTTTTCTTCAAAAAACTGACTTTTTTGGGAAAATAATCATAAAATCCAAAAATTTGAGTGTATCGAAAAACCGGAATATATGTCAGAGTCAGAGAAGTAGTCTATGTGCATTGTGCACCTACATAACAATTTATAGAAAAATCCGTTCAAAAATGTGGGAGTTATTTAAAATTTTATGACGTCACGACATACAAAATTTTTGAAAAATGATTTTTTTGGAAGTTCTAGACCACGTACGGAAACAAAAATAGCACCATTCGATTTGCCATGAAAAACTGCATCAGATAGACACCTTTTTAGGCCTTAACAACCAACTTCAAAATTTGACCTCACTTGACCTGACCTTGACCTGATCTCGACCTTAAATTCATCCAGATGTGGTCCATATCACTTATTGAGTGTGCCAATTGAATTCTATGAATAAAATGATCCATAAAACATGTGTCGCACATGCCCTTCTCTATATTTTGTTTTTGGTGACCTGACCTGACCTGACCTGACCTTGACCTTGACTTTTGAATGATATTTTATGCAACGAATATGGTCTTGGTAGCCTGAGAACACGTTTTGGGCAATCAGTCTCCGTCCATTCTTCGGCAACTACGGTGCGCGGCCGATACCTACTGTAAAAACTTGCATTCTGTACCCTTGAACTGACCTTGACCTGACCTCTGACCTACTTAAGCAAAAAAATGGGCTCTTAAGATCCGCCTTATTGAGAGCTTTCGAGTGCCGTTTTCTCCGTCTTTCTACGACCATCGGTTCGGATGTTAGACAGGGGGGGGGCAGAATCTGCCCCCCCCCCCCCCAGCAGGGCGCATATGGCTGAATAGCCCAGCGGGGCGCGGGTTAATCGAAAGTCGAAACCGAGATCGGGTGTAGAAAAAAAATAATCGTGTCAACTGTTAACTGTTAGTATACGAAACAGCCGCTAATGTTGAGGACCGATTTCAACTCTTCGTGTATCGGGAGTTATGGACACCTTGAGTATGTTATCATTGGCGATTCAGCAGGTAGGTATTGCCTACCTGCGCCCTACAGCAACATGATCTTGTGCTTTGTGATTGTAACACATGTTAGTGGTTTCATGTGTACTTCGATAGATGCTTAACGTGCTACACATCCTACAGCTACACAGAAGTCAAGACATAAGTGCATTCGTCAGAGCCGGCGCATTTTCATAAGCTGTGCGGAGACAGAGAGCCATAGCCGCTGTCGTCTAAGAAAACGTACAGGTATTCCCGCATACCCGCCGACGACTATTTCATCGCCCGCTTCTCTCCCGAGGCAGACGAAACAGTGAAGGCCATTCTTTGAGCTCCGCTGTCCACCATCTTCGGTGCCAGTTTTCCACCATCTTGAGATGACTTCATACGCTGATCTTGGCAGCTCATTCTCAGATTCCCGTCTTCTCTCGGCAGCTTTTCACCTTCAACCTTGCGTAGCAACTCGCCTTCTGCTTTCTTAAGCACCCCGGCGAACACTTCCAACAAAGTGAGGACCGATACCCCCAACATCAGACTGATGAAGCCTCCCAGTTCACTGAGGAGACTTGGCAAACGATAGGTCAGACGTTCTGTGGCAACCATTTCAGGAATCGCCGCAGGCGAGAAGACAAACTCAGAGTAGGGATCGTGCACGTTATCAACGGAGATGTCCTTCACGTTGGAAATACTGGCGGTGAAGCGATGCTCCCGACAAGGTAGGAGACAATCGCACTTGCTAGCCAGCTTGGAAAGTGCGTGAGTTCGCTCCATTTCCAACAGCATTGCCTTCGAGCAGAGTTCAAGATCAGGGAAGTCTTCCATCATGTCTGGCGTAGAGCAGTTGTTCTCATTGACCCAGTGTGAGTGTGAACAGCGCACAGAGCACGTCTGGAAGTGGTATCCGACTTCCGAGTTGCACCGAGCTCTTGATAAGCTTTCGCGA